TAACTGGTGACTAAAGCTGTCAGACTAATGTAATGGATAATAAATATAAAACAACATATTTCAGTACAAGGCCTTCATTGTGTGCCTTTTTCAAGTTTTGAATACCAAAAAATACCAACTGTGGAAAAAAGGCATTCTTCTTTTATCTTTTTATTATCCAATATTAAATAGAGAACTTGTATAATGTCCAACAGAAGAAAATGATCTCATCACTTTGGAGCAAGTGATGTTTTGACATTTCTAGTAGTGTAGGTATATGTAATAGAAATCATTTTCTGTAACCTTCATATAATGTAATTGTCTCTCTGAATTATTCTCTGAATTCTCCCTTTAGCTCACTGCTGATGTTCTGAAACTAAATCTAAATATAACATATTAAGTTTCAAAATATCTACAGTGAGCTGGAAGAAAATGTTTGGACCTTGCTTATAACTCCTTATCGGTAAAAATAATACAATTCTGTTCGTCAACATTTTTGCTTCTTCTGTGTTATTTACATCATGTAAGTCATTTGTTGGTGAGGGAAAATATATTTATATTGTTAAGCTACAAGTGTGTCTGATTAGGGTGTGGTTTGGAATTGGGCCACAATTTTTCCAACCCAGTTAAGATTTAACCATGCTCAAACCACTGATCTTCTGACTCTTCCTTTCCAGGTTTCCAGGTTCCAGGTTTCTACGTTTGTTAGGGTTAGGGCTAAAATGGGACCTACTTATACGATCAGAGATGACAATCTGCTATGTGTTTTTATTTTATTTCATACATAGCCCATAACCCAAAAATTGTGGATTGGGAACAATCCATTCTCATTGTTAATCTGCTATAGACGGTGTGCTTGCATGTGCACTTGTTAGGTACGATCTTACCATGCATGGCCGAGTCAATATTTGGTAAGACCCCATCTCGGATCAGTCGTGGAATACAGTGGTTTTGGTGGCAGTAAAGGACATATTGGCTTGATTTGAAATAAATAAGGTTGAAGCTCGTTGTGCCACTATTTCAACACGTTTTAGGTGTTCTAAGTGTTTTCCGTGCGTTATAGCTGAATAGTTTAAAATACCAATTCCAATGGGACTCGAACAATTGACCTTCAGATTGGCAGACATCCATTTAGATGAGCCAAAGCCACCAAGATGGAAATCATAACAATTGCAAAAGGGGGCGGTTATACATCCAAAAATACAAAACTGATTACAGTCACTGAACTGGGAACTAAAGATGGAGACGTTCAAGGATCAAGGCCTGTCAATATTTTGTCACAATATCTCTGAAGAAGCAGTTATACTGAGTTTTTTATGTTAATAAACGTTTATATATTCGAGGGCTCTGAAGTGAAGTGTCCTTCTTGCGCCAAACACACCCAGACATACTCCACAGTTTCGAAGCTTAATAATCAGCCATATAGTATTTTGTTTTTCAGACTTAAAAAAACTAATACATTAACTGATGTGTGAACCAAAGATGGAGGAAGACACAAGATGGATTAAACAACAATGGGGTTTGAAGATAAGCAGGATCAGGCTGGGTTAATACTTGGATGGGGGTCCACGTGGGAATTCCCGGTGCTTCAAGCTTTTAAAATATGTATTTAGCATGTGTTGATCACTCAAAGAGAGAAGCGCTCTGTCACTGTGTTCCTCTTTGCTATGTAAGGCTTCTAAATAAAAGTTGGACTTGTCAAAGGAAGTGAAAGAAAATATTATAGCAACTAAAAAATGTTGTTATAGACACATACACATTTAATAGTCGTATCGACAGAATACAAGGCTACCCAAGCAAAACATCGTGGCCAGCAGCATTGCGTAAAAGATGGGCTCATTGTGTTCTTAAAGGTACACATTCGATCAAAAAGACATCACAGTAACAGATACTATTACGGCGTACATACGGAGAGTTTGTCATGTGGCCTGGAGGTCTAAGCATTGGTGTTAAATGTGGGGGGCCACCTGGGGGCAACATCATCTGTCTTCAGATATTCTCAAAGCCACTTTAAAAGTACATTATATCTTTGTTAAATCATCATCATAAGTAAGCCATCAGAGTAAACCACTAAAGCAGAATGGCATGTTGATTGTGTTGCTGGTGGGGAACTGTGAGCAAAGGAGCATTAATGAGCTACAGCATTGCAAAAATGAAAAATATTATAAGAGATTTAACATAGAGATAATGTAAAATTAAAAGTGACTGAGCATAGCCAAAGACACCCTTGTAACCTGGGCCCCTGCATGTAAAACAAACAGAGTTGTAAAGTCACTAAGCACATTTACTCAAGTGCTGTACTTCAATACAATTTTAAAATACTGAGTACTTCTTCCACCTCTGTTAAAAAATAAGAATTATTTACTCAGCTATGCACACCTGTGATCTTCTTTCTTATGAAGCTATTTTAATCTAGCTTGATGCTCTTTGAAGCTACTGACAGATTCATATTTCGTGATGAAACTCCAGACTGACGCTCTGACGCTGCACTAACTGATAAACAACCCATATCGTTTCTTCCCATGCTAGAGTAAACATGGGGACTCTGAGATACATAGATCAGTTGAACCCACTCGTGAATGTCCAATTGAGCTTATGTGTGTAAAATAAAATACAGCGGTTGCAAACAAGTGACTAAATGAGACTACTGAAATGCCCGAACGTTAGACGCCTGACGGTGGTGATGCAAAGACCCATTGAACTAGATTTCAGTATGTATTTTGGGAATAATATTTTAATGGGAGTTGAAATAATTAATAATAAACAAAAGACTTGCATCATTTTTTTATCTGACATGTCCCAGTTTTTTGACCCGGTGAGGTGGTTTTCTTGAAGTATCTTTGTAATTAAAATGTTTTATAATTTCATATTCCAGCTATTCCTCAAAAAACATGTTTTCGATATCATGCCATTCAAATTTTTTATTTACATTTTCAGAATTTTTGGTTTTTGTATTACTACCCTGGCTTCCATAAGTGGGTCAAAAATGAAGTGACACCTATCAGGAAGATTATTTTACAGAATAGCGGAGATCTTGGGGGAGGGAATTCCAGATCCTGGGAGCTGCCAGTGAAAAGGCTCTGTCCCCAAAGCTGCCTAGTTTGGACTTGGAGGTGGACAGGAGACCGGCTGAGGTGGTTCTGAGGGACCGTAGGGTTTGGTAGATTGGGGAGAAGATCAGTGAGATGGGGGGGGGGGCAGATGGTGGATGGCTTTGTAGATGAGGGCCAGTATTTTGTAGTTAATGCGTTAGGACACATGTGTCAACTCAGCCCTTGGTGGATTTAATTTCGGCCCGCAGGATAATTTTTAATTACTATTAGATCTGGCCCGCCGGTATATTGCACGCACACCTTCACTCAATCCTGAGGGTTTCCTCAGCTCAGAGCCTGAGCCCAAACATTGATGAACTTGCACCCAAGATGAGATGCCAAGTATCTGGCTTGAGCTAGCATCACAGCAGCACACTGAGAGTTTCCTTTTGCACTTTCTCTCTCACGACAACAGGGCATGTTTTTTTTGTTGTTGAGGGAAATAGTTTTTTTGAAGCTGTTGTTGGCCTGTGGGAAAATGTAATCATAAGAAATGTCTCCGCAAAAAATGCAGATAGAGCCATAAGAAATGAATGCAACTGATTATTTAATGTTTAATGTTGTTTTTATATGCAATTATTTAAGCTTTGTTAGTTCCAGGTTTAATATGTGCAATAAGTTCATTTCAATACGTTTTGCAACAAACATTGAACCAGTCCGGCCCTCGACTAGTACCCATTTTTAAATGTTGGCCCACTGTGTATTTGAGTTTGACACCCCTGCGTTAGGAGATAGGAAGCCAATGAAGGTCTTTGAGGACTGGTGTGATGTGGTGCCATGATCTGGTGTGTGTGAGGAGTCGGGAGGCTACATTTTGTAAAATTTTGAGTTTTGAGGGAGGTTGAGCTGATGGAGTAGAGAAGTGAGTTACAGTAGTCAAGGCGGGAGGAAATTAAGGTAAGTCTTTCAGCTGCAGGGCATGTAAGAGTGGGTTGGATCTTTGCAATTTTGTGGAGGTGGTAAAATAAGTATTTGATGTAGAATTGTAGATGATGAAGAGGAGGGGGCCGAGTACTGATCCCTGGGGTGGCCTTGGGTGACTGAGGCTGTGCCAGAGGAGTGTTTGTGGAGGGAGATGAAGTGAGATCGGTCTTTTCGGTCTGATTATCAAAAATGTTTACCTCAGAAAATATTTGATGTCATCAAATTTATATGTGTGTGTGTGTGTGTGTGTGTGTGTGTGTGTGTGTGTGTGTGTGTGTGTGTGTGTGTGTGTGTGTGTGTGTGTGTGTGTGTGTGTGTGTGTGTGTGTGTGTGTGTGTGTGTGTGTGTATGTGTGTGTGTGTGTGTGTGTGTGTGTGTGTGTTTCCACCTGGTCATTTTCTGCTTTCAATTATTAATATGTTCAAAACTTTTTTTTCCAAAATGTTCAACAAAAAAAAAAAAAATTTAAATAGTGAAAAATAAAATATGTGTGGACCAAAATATAATAAATATTATACAAGTGATTTTTCTTAACCAAAATGACAAATATTGCATAAAAACACATTATTCTAACAGGGGTAATTTTGGACCCAATTATGGAAGAGTGTAGGGTCCAATCACTCGTGCATCTAAGGGTTAACAACACAATACCCAAATGAGGAAATAATATATGTCAATCATTCAAACAAGGGAATGCCATCATCATAGTATAGTCGATTATTTATTAATGTGTCTTACTTGAATAGCAACATCCCATGTTACTTGTTAGACGCTTTTATCCAAAGCGACTTACATACTCAATACTGTGGAAAATCCCCACAGGACAATTTGGGGTGAAGTGCCTTGCCCAGGGACACAGGGAACCTGTTCCGAACACCAACGCACAACCCACTGCGCCATGCGCCTCCCATCCCATATTTATTCATTTGACAAAACACTTTTACATGTAGGCTATTCTTATTTACAATTCAAAATCAGTATAGTGGTTATAGTCCGATGTTCAGTCTAAGCAGGACCAACTTTGGAGACTTCAGTCACTGATTTTGATGTTGAGCTTTCTTCGTCACTTCCACTACCCATACCCATCATCTCCATCATGCATGCACGAAACTGTAGGAGAAATGAAAACAGATAATTGAAGTTCAGATGGAAATGGTTTCTTGTGAACACGTGTAACGAGGGAATGTAAAGGAACATGTGAAATAACAAAGGAAATACTTTGGCGATCCCAAGTGTTGGTCTCAAAAAAGGCACTGCACCATAAACTGCAAAATGCACCGTTCTCAGTGGGATTTAGTCCTTTTTCTTTTAACTTCTATCAGGATATTTCCACACATTTAACATGTTCTCTTGCTGTAACAAATGTAAATGTCCCCACTGTGGGGCGGATAAAGGTATCCTGATTCTGAAATGTATGGAAAAATGCTGCTGTAACGAGTTGTCGAGGAGCCTGTGACTTAAGTTTAGCTAATATGCACATGACAATAAAGCCTTGAATCTTGTGCACCAATCAATACAACAAAACGTTGGCTTAAAACTTCTGCAAGGAAGTAATTGTATGGTCTTCTAAAGGCTAAGTGAAATAAACCTTATGACTCAGTAAGAAACAGAAGATTATGGACAAAGACTATTTTAGCACTTGAAAATAGATTTTGAATTTGTTGTGCATCACAACATTTAACAGACCTGTTTATTGAAGACAACATAGATGAAAGGGTTGTAGACTGTAGAGGCCTTCGAGAGACAGGAAGGTATGGTCGCCAATCTTAGATCGAAGGTTTGCCCACGGTTGTTCACAACCCAGAGAGCAAAGGAGGCGTAAGGCAACCAGCACACCAGGAAGCCCAACACCATGATGACCACCATCTTGGTCACCTCCCGCTCCGCCTTCTGGGTGGAGGCAGACTCTGCCTGGGCCTTCACTGCCTGTGGTGGAAAAGAGAGGTGATTTGGGTTAAATACTTTTTATTAAGCCAGTAGTATAACCAGCAATAAGCAAGCATCAGCATCAGAAGGATAAACTTTTACTAAATAATTCTTAAAATTAAGATCGTTGAGATTACACATTTTAAAAAATGTAAAAAGTAAAAAAGTAAAAAAAACATATCATTTTGAAATAAATGTAAACATAAATTACACACCAATAAAATGTCAAAAAAACAATCATCAACATATAATAAGAGACCAATCAGTCAACTCAAATCCTCTTTAATGCCTCTGAAGGGACCAGCTTCCAATCATTTGGGTGATTTTATTATTGATTCCAAACACAGGGAACACCATAGTTAATGTCTTCTTACCAAAGTCAGTCCCGGCTTTAGAGACAGATAGTCTAGATAACTTCCCATACTTTGTTGAAGTGATGTTGGTGAAGACAGAGGATAGTCTTATAAGAAAGTTCCAATATTTAAGTGTACGAGTGGACAAGCATACAAGGAACAATGATGAGTTTAAAATGTTTAACAAGTCTCAGTGTTCCGCGGGAGACGGTATCCAGCATGTGAAGGCATTGCGAAATTATTGTAGCTCAGACCTAAAGGTGGCAGCAAGAAGTATTTTGGCCTTACAAGAAGAGCAAGACTTGTTTTCACCAGTTTCTGGATGCAAAGTTTAAATGATTTTTGTTGACTACAGACTCAATTTCAATTACATTTGGCAATGAAAACACTAGGTTTTCTTTTTTTGGAAAGATATATAACACATTTTACATCACACAGGGTACGTACAAAAAGTTTAACTTGCAAATATTGTTGGCAAAAGTGGACGTTTACATTGAAAACATGTTTAATGAATACTAGTGGTCCCAGGAGGATCCCATAGGGAACACCCAAAGAGACACTAAGGGGGCTAGAAGTATAATACTTATCAAACCAGCAGCTTGTTCTGACAGACCTATATTGAGAAGTTTTTGCTTATCAGTATAGGTCAATATTTTAAGATCCACATTATCAAAAGTCTGAGATGATTCAACAAGATAATTTACTAATATCTCATAAAGACAGCCAGATGATTTTTACTGATAGACTTCGGCTTTGATAAGATCTCATTTGGAAACATTTGTTTTCCTTACCATTTTCAGCGTAATGAGGAGCTGAGAGTAGCAGAAGACGATGGTGGTGAAGGGCACAGTAAAGCAGAATCCGAAGAGAAACATGACGTAGGATTCATTGTTGTATTTGTTGTTTGTGGTGTACCAGTCTGGACCACAGGAGCACTGCAGGCCTTCTGGGATGTACCTGGAGAGAGATAATCACAAGAGCATTGAGTGAACTCCAAGATTCCAAGTGTTGAAGTGAGTTTCAGTTTAATATGTTGGTTTTAGTTACTTACCTGCTCCAGCCGAAAAGTGGAGGAAGTGCAGCCATCAGTGCAAACACCCAGGTTAATGCACAGCAAGCTAAAGCATGGTCAGGCTTGAAAATAAACTGACCAAGTGGCTTGCAGATGACCAGCCATCTTTCAAGCGCTACCACAGCGAGAGACCACAGGCTCACCATACCTGGAATGACAATGACAGACATTAAAAAACCTTTTTGAAACCATTTTAATGAAGTTCAGGAATAAAAAAGGGCTTAATGAAGTATATTGTTTCGAAACTACAACTTGAATCTTACCTCCAATCGTTGCCAAAAAACCTTCAACCTTGCATCCTAGTGTTCCAAAGACGAAATATCTGGCTGAAAATGAGACGAACGCAGTGAAGGAGCCCGCGCCGGCCACAAGGAGGTTTGCCACAGCCAAGTTCACCAGGATGTAGTTAAGGTGGGATCGGAGCTTCTTGTATTGGATAGTGGTGGCAATGGTGAGGACGTTAATGGCAGTGCCAAAGATAAATATGAAGAACATGAATCCTGCCATGCCATAGAAGAGGGACACGTCCCCCAGGTGGTCCTGTGGAACCAGGAAAGGACTCAATGCCGTGATGTTGTTGGTGTCCAGGGGAACAGGTATCCAGAAGTCTTCTGGTAGCTCCATGGCCCGAGATCCTCTCATTTAATCTATTTATATATATTAAAACAATTGTTATACCGAAAGTGTTCTCCTTGTTGTTGCTTTGCCTAGATCATATATATCATATAACAAGAGTAAAAGTTTTAAGAGGCAGACATGAATGCTTTGTGGTCTGCGTCCCTAACGCCTCTTACTAATCTCTTGTAGAGGAGGGACTTTTATAAAGGTTCCCAGGAAGCTACTCATCCCCATTAATGGTTAATGATACTATAATTGAATCATATATTAGGGTAGGCTTTAATCAGTGTAATTCATTTAGTGGTTTGCCCTTTTTGCTGTACTGCCAAAGAGGATACAACCTGGATATTTGAGGGGTTGAGGATAACTTATGCAAAAAGTAGAAAGACATCTTTGAAAATTTTATAGTAGGGTTTTTGCCATTGGAACATACAAAAAAAGGGATATAAAGCATGTGTAAAGAATTGAAAATCGTATATTGGTGCTTATCTAACTGCATGTGATACAGTAAACCTTTGAAAGTTGTTTTTGGTAAGCAAGACACTGATCTAAATTATGAATATGAGTGCTATTTGGAGCTAAGAAGTTGAATTGAAAAGATTCACTTTTTGTAGGAACACAATTTACAGGTATCTCAGTCAAGGAACACACACAAGCATGTAAATGTGTGCACCTGTGTAGATATACGCTTGCAAGCTAGTTCTTAACATGAAAAACCGATTAAAATTTAATCCCACTTTCTTAAGGAAGACTGCCGTAGGTATGTGCCTGCTAATCTGATTCCAAAGACCATTAACTAGCGATTGCATGCCTCTTAAACCCTTTTAATCCTCTATTTTTGTAACATTGCCTCCATCTCTGAGCTTAAAGAGTGTACGAGACGTTGAGAACTTAGTGTAATCGCAAAGATACTCAATGTAGCTTTGTCAATCCAATTATCCTTGATTAGACATTGGTGCATCATCAGGGAGGCTGTGGCGCAAGGAACTTGTGCGTTGGTGTTCGGATCAGGGGGTCACAGGCTCAAACCCCGCTGCAGTCAGCATGTCGTTGTGTCCCTGAGACACTTCACCCCAAATTGCTCCTGTGGGGATTGCTCACAGTATTGAGTATGTAAGACGCTTTGGATAAAAAGCGTCTAACAAGTAACATGTGTAACATGTAATCATTGTATCGGGTGTGATATAAAAGAGACCAGGGGATGAATTAGTAATTAACCAAAAAAATATTGTTTATTTTTGAATTGCAAAGGGAAATTCGGTACCACTTTACAATAAGAAAGACTACCCTTATAAAGGATTCATAAAGGGTTTATAATTAGGTTATGAATTAGGTTGTACACACTTTATTAATCATTAAGAACCATTTATATGTTTTGTATGTCTGTTTTACATTAATGGTTGAATCTAGCAATCTTTAAAATCATGAATCACATGTATGCGTAACAAGTGACAGGAACATTATTTGCTATTATTTCCAGACTGGATGAATTAAAGGGTATAAAAATCATTCATTTGAATATCAGGAGTCTATTGCCCAAAATTGATTTACTTCGGATATGGGTTGTTCTACATAAACCTAAAATCATAACACTCTCTGAAACTTGGCTTAATAGTAACATTTCCGATAGTGAACTACAAATCACAAATGATTTGCTTTACAGATCTGATAGATGCAGCAGGGGTGGAGGTGTGGCTATTTATGTTTCTTCTGACCTTGTGACTGAGCTAATTGCTACTTCTATAGAGCCTCTACATTTTGAATGCATTTTTCTTAAAATTATTTTTCATGAAAATAAATGCTTAACTATTGGTAGCATCTATAGGCCACCTTCTTCACCTGCAGAGTCTTTTAACCACATCATTGACACTATCAACTCCATTTCCTACGGAAATGAAATAATCTTGCTTGATGATTTCAACAAAAATTGGTTGATAAATCATCTGATAGAGAAAAAAAACGTTTCAGTAGTCTAAATGTTAAACAGCTAATTAATGAGCCAACTCGTATCACTCTGAGAACCCAATCTCTGCTTGACTGGATTCTGGTGTCACACCCTGGCAGAATCTTAAAAGCTGGTGTCATGTCGGATTGCTTCAGCGATCATTCAATTGTTTATTGCGTATGGAAAATCTAATTAATTAAACTACCTCCAAAACTAGTCAAAATCAGACAATATAAAAAATTGAATGTTGATTTATTTATTAATGATGTTGTTGCCCTTAATTGGGACAGATTTCAACTAATACCTTTTGTACAAGATGCTTGGGATTTTCTGCATAAAGAGCTCACTGATGTCATGAACAAACATGCACCTGTGAGAACGGTTAAGGTCAATTGAGCTGTACTTAAATCAGGTTTTAAAATTGTTTGACTGATAGAGATCATGCAATGTTATTATTTGTTTATTGATTGTTATGAACCTGTCTGAGGACCACAGATGGAAATTAGCTATTAGCTATAATCTGGCATATTGCATCTCTTCTCTTTGCTGAGATTAATGTTTTTGTATGCATGGTCCTTCTATAAATAAATAAAAAAAAAAAAATAATAAAAAGTATGTCAACATCTCCCTTGGATCAATTCTGAACTCATCAGTCTCTTTAGGGAAAGGGATAAAGCATGGTCGATATATCGTCATTCAAGAACTATAGCCGATTGGGAAGTATACAGGCATCTTCGAAATCTGAGTAAAACCAAAACCCGAAATGCTAAATCCAACTACTATAAAGAATCTCTCACATCGGACTTTAAGAATCACAAGCAATTTTGGACAAACATTAAATCTATTTAAAATAAATCAGGTAAACATTCTATTAATAAAATAAGAACTGCTGATACAATAATTCATGACCCATTATCCATTGCCCAAATATCTAATCAGCATTTCGCTAATGTATTTTCCACACTACTATCTGTCGACTGGTATTTCTAATGGTTACTCATACTCAACAGTTATTTTTCTTTTAAGAAGATTCTACCACAACCACACGAAGTGTATAATGCTATCACAGAATTAAAAGTGGATGGCAGTGCAGGACTCGATGGTATAGAAAACAGGTTCATAAAATTAACGTCCCATATTCTCATGTACCCATTTGCTGATTTGTTCAACCTGTCTTTGTCTACCTGTGAGATGCCGGCTATTTGGAAATGTGCACGCATCACTCCACTCTATAAAGGTGGTGATTTGATACAAATAATTATAGACCAATCTCTATAATCTGTTCTATTTCCAAAGTTCTGGAGACAATTATTTATAATCAACTGTCACATTATCTCAATACTCAATACCGACAGGCCCAAAGGGCAGCAGCCGTGGCCGAGGCAAAGCAAAGCAGCGGGTGTGGGAGAAGTTTGGAGAAGACATAGAAAAGAACTTTCGGGCGGCACCAAAGTTGTTCTGGAAAACTGTCCGACACCTCAGGAGGGGGAAGCAGGGACCCAGCTAGAAATGTTTGGTTCTAAAAACATTCTGAGAATGTTACAGTCATTGTTCTAGGAAGGTTTTCAGCGGGAAGTTTTCTTTTGGTTTCCAGAACGTTCTTCTGAAAGGTAGGATAACGTTCTCTAAAAACATTCTTAAAATGTTTTTGCTAACATTGTTAGAACATTATGCCCTACTGTTCTTAAAACGTTTTCAGCTGCAAGTTAGATTTTTTATGTTGCCAGAATGTTATTATTTTAGAGAAGGCTAACATGCTTTATGTTTAAAAAAGTATGCAAATGTACTGTGGTAACAATTTACTAAAATATGTTTACATTATTAGAACATAAAGACATAATATTCCTGTAATTGTTCAACTCAAAATTCCTGGGTAAGTGCACTGCCCACTGTGGTCATCAGGATGATTTTGAGTTTACTTAACTATTGGAATTTGACTATTAACACAAGTGAAAGGATGACTCGGAATCAGCTGGTGAAAGCAACATTTGTTTATTAGAAAAGGGGAGCTGGGAGTGGAGGTTGGTTATGGCAGCAGTGGGAAACAGTTGTTCCTGTGTGGAGAGGCCTGGCTGGTCTTGGGAGTGTGGAAGGCCTTGGATTCCTCCTGGGAGAGACATAACAATGAGTGTGAGGCAAAAGCAGGCAAAGTTGTCAAAGAATATGCTGGTAAAAAGGTAGAGCGGCACGCAACAAACCGTTCACGGCAACAATCCGGCAGGGAATGAGTGCAGGCTGCAGGCTTTCATAGTGTGGCTGATGAGCAGGTTGCAGGTGTGGTTGATTGGAGATTGCTCCCAGCCGTGTAGAGCAGACCAGCAGGCAGGTGGGGGGGGGGCTCTAACCCACTAACAGGGGTTTCAGGGACGGGCAGTGATAGTCGGTCCATTCTTCTATATGTCTGTCTTTGGTTTTCTAAGTGTTATTCGATCCATATGACCATAGAGATATGTGCATAAACAACAAAAACACTTATAATGTTCGAACATAACAATGTTATCAACATTTTAAGAATGTCTTTAGAGAACGTTATCCTACCTTTCAGAAGTACATTCTAGAAACCAAAATAAAACTTCTCGATGAAACCATTCCTTGAGCAATGAATGGTAACATTCTCAGAATGTTTTTAGAACCAACAATGTCTAGCTGGGAACTCAGACATGCCTACGCAAATGTGCAATGTCATGAAAATGTGGTGACATCAGATTTCTTTTAAACATCCTTTTCAAACAAATGCAGCAAGTTTGTTTTTTAAAGCGCACCACAAATAAATCTGACGTTGACCATGACCCTGTTCATATTTCGCAACACAGGAACATTTTATAAAAAAATAATAACCTCCTGAAAACATTATCCAAATGTTGCTTTCAAAATGTTCTTCTTTGGTTATCATGTAACATTGAGGGACCGTTTATAAAGAACACGTTTAATGTGTTACCCCAACAACGGCCAAAACACATCCTTAGAATGTTGCAGGCAAAACGTTCCACCTTTGTTAACATATCACATTGAAGGCACATTTTATAAAACACTTTCTGTCATCTCAGGCCTCAATAAAATCCTGAAAACATTTTCAGAATGT